AGAAGCCAAAGATGAATGTTTAAGAATGTTTAAGAAACATTTCTGTAAATGTTTCCTAAAAGACGCAGTTAAGAAGCATTTTAATTTAACTTGGGAATACAATTTCTTTAGTGGCTCCATCTAGTTTTGTGTTAAAATATGAGTCTTGATGAGGCTATAGACCTTTACTAGATTAATTTCCCATTACATAGAGATTATAAATTCCATGAGGTAGGTTTAGCACCAAGAAGATGTTTTCTGCTACTTCTTTAACCAAAACATTATACTGCAATGGAAAGGCATCTTTCAGATTTATTTTAAATTTTGACTCCTTCTGTGTGGTTTATACAGAAGTTAGCAAGTGAACTCACATGGACACTACAGATGTAGCTATTCTTCCTACGTACAAGCAGGCTGCTGGCCTACTAACTTCTTCCTGTTCCTCCTTGGAATGGCTGAAGGAATCTGTTTGAGAAATGGGGATGTCTTACACAATAAGCAAGTGGCCCATAAATATTGACTTACAGCCTCAATTTCATTTTGGTTTACCCCAAGTCTTCTGTCAAATGGAAGCATCCTTTCCCAGAATACCCACTGCAGATCTCGTGATGTATGTATGGTTTGTCAGTGTGTCTCTTGTGCTATGGCAAGAAGAATGTAGATGTGAATCATTCTAAGAGGAGCCAGCTCTTCCTCAAATCTTTTGTATTGAGAAATAAAAAAAGGCAATCCCTAACATACAAGAATTTGTCTGTCACTCACAAGTAGGCCATGTTTTCCTATTGTACTTAAATGATTTCATAGAACACCAACATCACAATAGTCACTATGAAATAGATGAATGGATAAAAACTGTGGCATATATACACAATGGAATATTATTCAGCAATAAAAGAGAATAAAATCATGGCATTTGCAGGTTTGGATGTAGTTAGAGAAGATAATGCTAAGTGAAGTTAGCCAATCCCACAAAACCAAATGACAAATGTTTTCTTTGATATGAGCAGGCTGATTCATAGTGGGATAGGGATGGGGGGGCATGGGAGGAATAGATGAACTCTACATAGGGCAGAGGGGTCAGAGGGGAAGGGAGGGGGCATGGCGTATTTAATGATGGTGGAATGTGATGGTCATTATTATCCAAAGTACAGGTATGAAGACATGAATTGGTGTGAATATATTTTGTATACAACCAGAGATATGAAAAATTGTGCTCAATATGTGTAATAAGAATTGTAATACATTCTGCTGTCATATATAAATAAAATAATTTTTTAAAAAAAGGAAATTCTGAAGCCTGTAAAAAAAAAAAAAGAATAGTGACTCTAAGATCATAAAGTGAGACACAAACAAGTTTACTGTGCAACCCACAAACATACTCCTCTCTTCTCTATAGCCAGTATCTACTACTTAAAAAAAAAATAAATCAGGTGCAAAGCACATACTAGCATATGCAAGGACTTGGGTTCAATCTCTAGCACATAGACACACATTATAAGATCATGGTCATTTTTGTAAGCAAAAATAACCCAAAAGGTTTCAGCACCACAATGAAACCACAAATAACTAGGATGGGAGCAGACTTCATGGATCAGCTATGCCTTTTATTCAGCAGTGGAGTTAATCAGTCAGGCATCGGAGGGGCTCACTTTCTGGGTAGAAATGGCCACTGGTTACAGGAGGAATCTGTGCTTACATAGGTTACACTGAGAAGTGATTTAACCATTGAAGATTTTAACAGAAATATCAGTTGGGGCACTCAGGAAACAGGTTGTGAGAATTTGAAACTTGTTTTTAACTGGGCAATGATATTTATTCTTCCCCCTGGGCAAGGATGGAGGGTCCAGAGTTCAGCATTCAGTGTGTATCTCTTTCCCTCCAGGGTCTATTGCACTGTCACTGGGAAGGGATTTATTGGGAAAAGATTAATGCTTGTCCTTTTCCCAGGGATTGTCTGGTCACTGGGTGAGGTTTGCTTCCTTCCCAGGGATTTTCTTGTCACTGGGAAACGATGTATTGGAAAATGATTAAATGCCACAGTCCGGCTGCAGCAAAATAACCGGGGGGTGACGAACAACTTGTGTATGTTGATACAGCAGGAGTAGGAGCCGTTTATTGCAGGACAGGAGCAGTATTTATACATTCCACACAGCTTATCTAATTAGCATAAACTAGATACAACAGTCAGCCAATCAGGAATCTCCACACTTAATGGCTCGCTTTTGTTACTTCTCAAACCACTCCCTCTGGCATTTTGCCAGGCACCATCCAGACTTGATTATGAACTCTAACATTTCTCTGGCAAAATGCCAGGCGCCATCCTGACTTGTTTACAGACTCTAACAATTAAAGTTATCTTTTGTCTTCTTCCTCCCTCCCTCTTCTCAGACCACACTGCTTTGGGGGTTGTCATTGTCATATTCTTCAACTTTCAGTACCCTGGATAGATGGATAAGATGTACTGAGATCTCAACCATTATAGAATCGCCCCTGTTTCTTGACAGTATCTAATCCAGAATAAAGCCTGGCTTCCTGAGACTCTGCCCCAAATTGTTTACCTAAATCTCCAAACCTATAGTAGGTTCCCTTTAACACCCTTTGGCAGAGATGCCCCCAGTTACAGAGTGCATTTTTCCTGTCTGCAATGAGTAGTAGATCCAACTCGTCCAACTACAGATGTGTTCTTACAGGTTCTGGATGGTGGTTCTGCAATCACTTCTATTCTCCTCTTATTTATTTATCCATTCATTTATTCAGCAATTCTGAGAGTATTCTCCCTCCACATTAAAAGGCCCTTCTGTTTCCACTACTGGGGATCCATTAGGCTTTATGCCAAAGGCCCCTCTTGCACTATAGATGTGAGTCAGCTGCTTATCTTTTTATAGATTATTGTGGTTCCCATGAGGACCTAGGATTTAAGTCTGCTCTAGGTTGTTGAGAGCAAGCCACAAACACGATATCTTTGTGTCGGTTTTCTTGTGAGTAAATGATAAAGGCCTTAATTAAGGCTTATTATTAGTTTCTTTATAATTCTTTGTCTCTAAGGCTACAAAGACAGCTGGAATAAAAGGAGAAACCCTATGTTTAAAAAAAGTGCTGGAGTTGCCACTCCAACCTCTTTTTACTTTGGTGAAGAGTAAAGAAAGTTAGGACCTCGCTCCAGGTTCTTGGCTTCTGTTGAAAGCACACACCCTACAGACAGCAGGCCCAGGCATAGGTTCAGCCCACTGTGCGTGCTGGGGCCCAATCTACGAGTTTCACAAACGAGATTGTAAAAAAAAATATGAGTTTCATTCAGGAAGGGGAACATTTCATCCATGTAGTGGGGCCTCCTCTGGACCCCTTGAAAGATTTTGTGTATTACATCTTTGATCATTTCACCCTCCTCCTTCCCACCCTTTGGGCACTGTCTCAGACTTTAAACTACAATAAAGAATTTGGATAGTTTGTGAAAATGAGCATTATGTCAAAATTCAGACAATTAATGATTTTTAGTGCCTACATGTTCATATTTCTTAAATAATCATATATATTTAAGTTTCTATGAACAGATGTAACTTTAATGGCCCTTGGGTGCCCAGACTTGTATTAATATTAACCTTGGTTCCTGACACTGTCATTGCTGGTCAAAACATGGCTTTTTTTTTTTTTGTTGGTTGATTTTTAATCCTCTTATTTATTTATCCATCATTTATTCAGCATTTCTCTATTGAATGAGCAGTTAGGAAACCAATGACCCAACCTGAGGTAGGATATTGAGTTACTCAAACTGCCCTAGGTCTCCTCTCAAAGAAATTCGTCTTCTATACAGCACTGAAATGTCCCAGAACCCAAAGACATAAATACCATTTCTATATTCTCTCAATTTAGATGTAGTATTTTGTGTGCGTTTGTGGTTAGAAGAAATATCCTTAGGAAGTTGAGAATTTTCCACTACCCATTCTCTACTGTACTTGGAAGATTGATCCTGACCATGTGGGAGATAGAAGGAAGAAACCCTTTTCAAAATGGAAGCCAATAGGGAATTTATCCACCAAGTATATTAGAGGTTGATCCTATGGAGAGTGGAGAGAAAGGGTTTGTTACAAATGCTCCTGTTGAAGGTTGGCTGTGAGCTTCAGTTGATCTTGGGAGTGAGACAATAGGGGAAAAAAAGCTAATGGCATATTTCAGTTTCCTTTCACAGGAATGCAGACTTACTGGTGTGGTGGAAGATAAAAAAGAATTTTGGTTTTTGCTGTGACAGTAACAACCTGGGAATGACTCTCATTTGTGAGGGTAAATCAAGGTCCCAGATCCTGATACATGGATCATAAGAGAGATGCTAACTCAGGTGTGTGGTGGGGGAGCTCTTCTATGTAAATATTTATTTTAAGACAGAAATGTTGGAAGGATGGAGAAGGAACAGCTACTAATGTAGTAGGGACAGTAGGGCACAGAAACTTGGTAGCCTGTTTCTCTCAAGTTCAGGAAGAAAATAGGTGAACCAGATGATGATGTACAGGGAAAGTGACAAGGGACCTAGGAAAGGGATGACAGATGGACGGAAATCCTCTGACACCACCAGCTGGTCTTATGTAGGACTAAAATTTGTTAAAGCTGTCGAGTGAATAAGAGTGCAGAAAAGGTTCCAGCCCTATGTGGTTCTTCTTGAAGTATTTCCCAGAATAGGGATGGACTTCACAGCCTTGAAAAGAACACTAGTTGGCAATCTTCATCCAATGCCTCCTTGAGCATTCTTTCATTTAATGAATATTGCAAACCTGCTGGACAGCAAGCGTAATCACTAGTCATGGTGAGCCCAGCAGAAGGCTTGTTTTCCGTGGACCACCTGTAGAAACAAGGGAAAACAAAGTGTGCTTGATTTGTTGGCATATTTGTGTGGCTAGAACTGCAGAGTAATGGGGACATGTGACAATGAGCCTGAAGATATCAGGGGGATCCATGGTTGAGGGCCTTGTAAGCTATGTTAAGGGTTTGCTTTGATTGATTGTATCTTAGCCAATGTGAAGCCACAGAAGGATTTTTATTTGACTTTATTAAAAATGTTTCAAAGTAATACATGCACAAGGTAAAAAATTAAATAGTACAGAAGGACTTAAAATGAAAATCACAGTTTCCCACCCGACCCCTTAAGCCCTAGTCCAGTTCCCTAGATACTTTTAACAATATTTTTTGGATCTTCTGGTAACTAACTTTCTACTTTAAATATTGTTTGAACAATAATTTCTTGATTAACTTTAGACAATCTTTGATAATTCCCCATTACAAAAGATAAGGATTTAGCTTACACTCTCTGTACTTTTCCTTTGCCCATACTTCTCCAAATGTTTGATAGATATGTTGTTTTTAATACTTTTGTTGGTTTAATTTATAGCTTTGATCGATGCACTAATTGTCTATTTTTTGTTCTATTAATTGAATACCTTATCTTTTTACCCCCACTTTGAACATATAAGTAGCCCTAAACGTCCTTTCTACTTTTCTTTCCTCAGCTAATTCTCGACCTCTTTCTGGTTTCTTTTACCCTAATTTGTCAGCATTACATTTAGCTTTAGTTCTGAATAAAAACACTTCAGCCATTTTTACGACTTTGTCAGATAGTTGATCAGAACACTGAAGACAATAAATGGCATCTCCAAGATTTGGGGTATGAAAATACTTTATACTGAGAGCCAAGTAGCAGCCAGGCTGTCTTTTCACCACACCCCTTATGTCATGGTGCCTGGATCACTGGAAAGGAAACATACCTACCGTCAATGTCAACTCAAGTCTTCTTCCACACTTTGAGTAACCAAAATCATGCCCCATTTTATTTTGCTTCACAATTGGACTGGAATTTCTTGACATTTTCGATTCAACTTTCTTTTTTGTTGACTAAAGACTGTGTTTCTTCTCAAACATTCCAGCTTCTCAATGATACTACCTATGGCCCTGAATGCACATTCTCCATAGAGACGAAGACTATGCACTCTCCCCCAAAAAGGGTCTGCTGGACAACTGTCACTCAGAGAGACGTCCTTCCAGATGACCATCACTCTAGAGTGAGACATCCTTCCAGGTGACCATCATTCTAGAGAGAGACATCCTTCTAGATGAACGTCACTCTAGAGTGAGACATCCTTCCAGGTGACCATCACTCTAGACGTCCTTCCAGATGAACATCACTCTAGAGTGAGACGTCTTGGGGTGAGGTCCATATGGATCCTATTTCATCTTCTTTCCTGGGTTTCATCATTTTTTTCTGGGAAACTTCCTCAAGGTACTTCCTCAGGGAGGGTAAAAGAAGGTAGACTTTGAAACTTGCATGCCAGAACATGTCTTCATGTTGGTGTTCTTCTTGACCGCCTGCCTTCTACGGAATTCCCAAAACCAATGTTTTCCAGAAGTTGTGTGAAAACATTGTTCCCATGACTTCTTGAATTCAGGGTCCCTGATGAAAACTCTGCTGTCAGTCTATTTCTCATCCGATTTTAGTTGAACTAATTTTAGTTTTTTTCTCCTTGGACACATTTCTTAATAATCCAAAATTCTGGAAGGCTGTCTAGGTGTAGATAGAACTGGGGTTCCTCAACCTGTTTTTCTACTCTTCAATTCTTTCTCTGTGTTCTCCCTTCTAGGAATGGCCAGTGGTTGATATTGATTGTCTAGGTCTCTTTCCTTCCTTCATATTTTCTCTTTCTTTTTGCTCTACATCTGGGGAGACCCTCAACTTCACTTTCCAGCCTGTCCACAGAGGACTTTTCAGTCTTATTTTGCTTTCAAGGGGCTTTTGTTATCCACAGCTTTCCCTTTCTTCGCACTGTCCCGTTACCATTTTACAAATGCACCTCTAATCTCTCTGAAGATAGGGTGTGGACTTTCAGTTATTCTTTCCCTCCGGAGTTCATAATACATTCAACACCCCTAATTCTACATGGTTATTTTTCTTATGTTTCGTCCCTGCTCTTGCCTCCTGCCCTCTGTGTGTGGGATTTCCTAGCTAAAAGTTCACATCCCAGAATCAATATTAACTACTGACTTTGGTAGGCGTCGGTGGGTTTCCTCTGCTGTCATGTGGACAGGTCTGTTTCTCCGGCTGCTTCTCTGCATGGAAGCCCTGGGGCTCTTGGGTAGCGGTCTCAACTTTCCGAAGAAAATTAGCTGATTTAGGCTGGCAGGGGGTGAGGGGGCACTTGTTTCCACAAAAAGAGCGATTTTATTTGGAGCACCGACTCTTACCTCTCCTCAGGCAGTTTATTCAATTTCTTTATACAAACAACAATGACAACAACAACAACGAGGAATCTTTAACTGGCACTGACAGCAGGCGCCTGTGTTCTGTGCACGGGGGTGGGGGATAGGGGGTGGGGGTGGGGAGGGGGGTCAGTTATACAGCGGGTACAGTTCTTTAGTTGAGGGACTCCTTTGATGCTCGAGTCTCTTTGGGGTCATGTTGCTCAGATCAGCTTCTATTCTGTCTGAAAGGTACCTTCACTCTTATCAAGCTGCTTCCACTTTTTCTCTTCCAGAAAGGTGTTGAGATCATCTTCACGTATCACCAAATGCCTTTGTCTTTGCCGAGATGTGCCGGTTCTTTCTTCCCGTCTCTTGACTTCAATTTCAGTGGGGCCTGGGGAAGGAGGGGAGGTAAACTGACATGTTCAGTCCATCATCTTAAGTTGCAAGTCCCATTGGAGGCTTCAGACAGGGGAGTAACATGGATAACTCTGTATTTTTAAAAGGTCCCCGGGGCTTTACCGCTAAACTTAAAGAGGGCAAGGACAGATACAATTTTATTCTACAAGACTGGGCATCTAATTTTCTCACTGAGAATATGCAGTGTGGGAGACTTTGGGGAGTAAGGCATGTTATCAAAATAGCCCATCACTCAAAATCCAATAAACTAGAGTCTGCTCTCCGGGGACCCAGGGGACAGTGACTGAAACTTGAAAAACCTTGAACCTAAAAGACTTGCTGGGTCCACAACACTCACCCAGCCCCCTGGAAAGTGCCTCGGGAGGAGGCTACCTTAAGTCCTTCCTTTGTGCTGGCATTGGGGATCAACAAAGGAACCTCTGTTCTTATAAAATTAGATGAGGAGTACAGAAGCCAAAGCTCTAGTAAGTAGGGACAGAACTCCCTCTGTTGGCTGGTTGGCTTCTTTATTTACTCACTCATTTGGCCCTTCAGCACTGTAGTTATGAACCCCCCATTCTGTAATCAGAATGCCTGGGTTCGAATCCCAGTTCTACCACTTGTTAGCAGTATAGCTTTAGATAATTTACTGAATCTCCATAATATTCAGTTCTCTCATTCATCAGATGGGAGTGATAATAGTTTCCATCTCATAAAATTATGGTGAGGATTAAGTGAAACAATCTGTAAAAAAGAACTAGTAGTACCGTACCTGGCACACAGTCAACACCTGACAGTCGACAGCAGTTATTTAAAATGTAGAATGAATATTCAGGTTTGAAGGACCTGGACCATGGATATTCATGGAATAAGGAGAAGTAATTCTAGGAGGGAGAAGTGGAATGAAATCCAGAGGAAAGCAGGGTGTAGGTCAAATCTTATTTTCTACACAGCCACCCATTTACCAACTAAGTCAATGGAAGGGTCCATTAAAATAAATGTGAGCTAAATAAGCTCTATCTAGTTGTCTTGGTCCAAAGTGATGTTTTGTAGGCATGTGTGGTAGGTAACTCCACAGTGACTGTCTAGTTAGTGTCACCGGGGACATATGAACTCCACCGGAGGCTGATACCTACTGTTTACTAAGGACAAACACCATCATGGAATTGTTTTGTTTTCAAGACATTCACTTTTGATTTAATCAAAAAAGGGGATTTGACTCCTTTTTAAAATTCCTTTGGTTCCTTTCTTTTCCTGAAAAATAGAACTGAGTAAAAAGATTTCACTGTTAGTAGTTTTAAAAGACACCATTGTGAATTGAGAGTCCTTCCTTGGGATTCATAAATCAATGTACCACAAGCCTTTCAGAGGTTGGTGTATAAAACATAGAATAAGATAGAATAGGTAATAATTACATTCCAAATATCTTAAAATGCCAGAGGAAAGGATTTTGAATGACCATGAAGGAATGATAGACATTTGAGGCAACAGATACGTTCACCTCATTTAAATGCACACTACATACATATATTGCAACCATGCAGGATACATCATTAATACTATAATTTTTATATTTTTATGCATCTGTTAAAAATTATGACTGTATTTACAAACTTCATCTAAACTGAAGTCTATTCCTAAAATAATTATAAAATAATCAGTGAGCTAATTATATAATAACAATGGCAATTGATGTTCTCTCTAAACCTACTAGCTGCCAGGTACTGTTCTAATGACTTTTAGAGTCAGGGAAAACTGAATCCTCACAATAATTCTGTGAAATAGGTCCCATTTTATGGGAGGAAACTGAGTCACAGAGAAGGTAAGAAAACTGCCAGGAACAACAGATGGAAGATCTAGAATTTGAACACAAGGAGTCTACTAGTTGGAATGATGATTGTAACCACTAAGCTATGGGCAGAGAATGGGAAGCAGTGAACTCACTATTCTGCACACAAGTCCCTTAAATGGCATGCATTATATAGATTACAAGACCACAATTATCACTGCAAATCTTCATGACAACCCTGTGAGGCAGGGACTTTTATCCCCATTTCATACACAGGGAAATGGGAATGCAGGGTCAAATGACTTTCCCAAGAGCAAACCCTAGCTCTGGCTCTTCCTGCTATACCAGACTGCGTTTAAAGTGCTTTGACAACTATGCAGGACACAAAATACATGAGTCGTCAGAGAGCTGTCTAGCTGTCGTGGTGGATTTGTGCAGTAACCTTCTATCACCAGATTTTTAGAACAACTAATAAAAACATAAAAGCCCAGAGAGAGTCCGCAGGATGTCAAAGTAAGAGCCACTATCGATGGGCTATGGCCATATACCAAGGGCCAGTCTAGAAACTGGTGCCCAAGCTCTCAGGACCGGGCTGATAGCAGTCAGGAGGGAATCTGACAACTGAGAGCAGAGGAGCAGAATCATGGACAGGAGGCCTTGTTCGAGACATTCTGACTTCACTTTTGCTGTGTTCTTAACCCACTTCCTAGAGACAGAAGTCAGTAATGAGATACGGCAGTGAGCTAAGAGGACAAGGCCAGAACCCTAGCAGACAGAGGTAGAGGACTGAACCCCCACCTCTGCCTACCTCCCCAAACCTCTCTACCTGCCACCTCGATGGGCACTCCTTACATCTGTGTGAGGAGGTATAATTTCATAATATTTTCCTTCCATTCAGGCAGATAGGCCAGGCTGGTAGCCACTTCCTTCTGGATGGGCCAGGCCCAGGCCTCAAAGAATGGAGCCAGGTTCTTCTGCACTTGGTGGGAGAACATCTTGACCCAGAGATTCATTTTGTCGACATTGTCTGTGGGCAGGTTGGTCTGGTTCCTGTACTCTGTGAAGAGACGGATGAATGGCTCCCAGCCAAAGGCTTCCTGGAGCTAGAAAGAGAAAGAGGAAACCAGGTGAGACGTCTAACCTACAGAAAGAGGGCCCCGCAAACAACACAAGTGTAATGTGCTTAACTCCCTGAGCACGGGCTTCAGGTCCACCCCTGGCCTTCCCTCCTGTTCTGCACACTGCCCTCATGTCCTGTTCTCCCACTTTCTGATCTTAAGAAGGGCCTTGGGGCAGACAGCAGGCAGACATGGCTGTGGTGATCGCTGCAATAATTAAAATTGATGTTTTCTACCAATATCATTATTCACCTAACTCACAAGATCACGAAACTAACGATGGGATGTTATACAGGGCCTTAAAACCGACCCAAGTGGACCCATCCTTGATATCTTTCCTAGTTACAAGGTGAAACTCCAGCAATTGGGAAACTCCCACCCCTATGCTGCAATCCTCAATAATCACAGGTCTATGTCAGCTCACAAGGCTACCAAAATGGCCTTTGGGGGCAGGGGGAGTGACTCAGGTAGAAGTGGGAGACCACACGTAGTCTAGCCAGCCAGAACTAAGAAGTCATAGTTTTAGAAATAGGCAGCCATCCCAAGGCCATGCCTAGAGTCCATGCTAGCCAGGATTTCAGAGTTTTTGAGCACACAGGCCCTTGGTCAGTTCCCTAGACTGACTTAACTTTACTTCATGGACGAGGAACGTTTGCTCCTGCACCTAACAACAAAGTGAAAATAGAGCCTCCCTGATGATTTCACACCATTGCCCTGGCAGTGAGAAGGAGCAGAGAGGAACTTGAGCAGGTGGAAGAACCAGAATAGAGCAGGCCTGGCCTGACCCAAGGCGATGCCACGCCCCACTTCGAGCCAGGAACTGATCCAGGCACTGGGGGCAGCGGTCTAGGGCATGGAGCATTCAGAGGCAAAGCTGACCTCCGTAACCAGTGAGGTTTGCAGCGTGGATTGCCTATTGAGGTGGGGTCTGAGGCACAGCCAGGTCATAATGAGGAGAGGGTACGCTCAATGAGGGGAAGACAGGTGTTCATAACCTGGAGTAGTACGTGAATGGGGTGGTTTGGTGCTAGCTGTTTGGTAGAAAGTTTGGCTTCGATTGAGGGTCTGTCTGCCTTTAAGACCAGAGAGAAAGAGAGTATATTTTTATAGTACTGTGTTTGCCTCCAAGGGTTTTAAGATTTCTCACCTCTCTTGGGGTGCAGCTGAGGCTACTAAGTCCACTCTAGGGTCATGCAAAGTGAGGCCCTAAGAGGCTTCACCCAATAGGGCCTTTACATTTGGTCTTGTCTGCGTCTCCCTCGGCTGAGTGTGGGAGACAGATGCAGTGGGGGTCTCCTGGGTGGCTAGAAGATCATCTAACACTTGGCCCTGTTGGTCCTCACAGCGAGAGGCTCCCTCCCATTGCTCCCCCCGACCTCCTGTCTATACCTGTAAATACGTCTCCAGTGCGGTCCATGCATTCCAGTTTTTCACATTGGGTCCCTTGCCCAGGTAGATTCGGACACGCTTCTCCCGAACTGGGGGCCACAGGGCAATATTGGCACGGCCTCGAGGAATGCCCAGGACTGTTTCATGCACATAAACACACCACAGGTTGCAGGTGGCCTCGGTGGTGTGCGGTGGGAACTCCCACTCCTGCCGCTGCTGGTTGCGGCCCAGCTCGTGCACGGGGCCCCACAGCCCCTTGGTTCTGATGAGCTTCTCATTGATGAGCTCCTGCACGGACTCCAGATGGCACATGATGGGGTACCCAGCATGCATCCAGCCTGGGAAATACAGGAGGGGAGAGGAAGGGTTAGGGTCCTCCTATACACCTGGTGAAACTTCATAAGAATCAGTAGCCCCAGGCTACCTCCCACACCCTACTGCTCAGGAGGCCACTCCAAGCCCAGACCCTCCAGGCTCTCCTTCTCAAGGGTTCGCTCTGTGCGAATGCTCTCATTGCACTCTGACTTGCAGGGCCACAGGAGGGGGCGTGGGTTGTAGGGAGCCATTCGTGCCACCATTGCAGTTTTCTGTTTTTATGAGGATGCCTTACCCATGTGTCTCATTTTTTTTTCTTTTATAATTCAGAACTCTTTGAAGGTGGTTTCCCCTCCCATTATCAGATACAGGGTGGCCCACATTGACACTACTTTACACTGGTGATTTATTCATCCCAAGAAAATGAGGGTCTAGAGAAATTTCTTTGGTTCTTTGAGGTCTAGACATTCCCTGTTCCATTTTCTGGGCTCCGTCACCCATAGGCAAAGGAGTCTTCATTCAGTGTCTCTCAGTGACTCTGAGCTAATTCAAGATCCTCTGCTGTCTCTACCCACTTCTTGATGTCTCCATTTGGACACTTGTGAAGGATCAGGTAGCATCCCTTCATATCTCTGATGACATCTCTTGACATGCTGATGGACATGGCTATTTATTTCTTACATAACCTTTTCCCTATCTATTTAAATAGCAGGAAGTATGTCTACATGTCTTGCTAGCAAAGCACGTGTACCCTCCTGGCTGCCTGCTGCATGGCTGTGGAAAGAAAGGCACTTTGTGTCTGTGTGCAGAGGGATCAGGGCACCCACCAACTGAGATCTGCACGTCAGCGACAATCCTCTGAGGCAGACGTAAGGGGAAGGGTTCGGCTCCCAGTCGTGCCACCGCCTGCATCACCTCATCCCAGAGGCGGAGCAGTGGCTCAGGGTTCTCCAGAGCACGTAGATTTGCAGTTGGCACCGTCAGGATAATGTTGTCCGTGGCCAGCTCTCCCCAGGGACCTGGATTCTCCTGGATACGCCTCTTCCACTCCTCCTGGGATGTCTCCCCTAGAAGAGAGGCCAGAGGGGCTTGGAACATGCTTTCCCAAATACCTTAAGTCAAAACATCCAACTCAGACCCCAGGAGGGGAACGACAAGACCATGAGCAATACATCCCTCCTCTTTATCCTGTAAAGTCCCCATGGATATGGTGTGGTGTTTATCTCCTGGCCCTAGAGCAGAATCTAAGGAGGCCACCCTCCTTCCCACCAGGCTGTGTCTCTCTCTCCTACATCAAACAGCCCTCAAGCCCCTCCTCGTCCCAGCCCTCCACCTCCCTCGGGATGCACCCCACAGCTTCCACTCACCCAGCTTGTAGTAGGGAGCATGCACAGCTCCCTTAACGGTGATGGGCACAGAACCCAGTTTGCTGCTCTGAGGCACAATGATATAGAGGAGGCCACCCCAGAGGCAGGTGATGGACTTTGTGGGTTTGTCCAAGCAGCACCGGTTAATCACCAGGGGGCCTCGGAACAGCTTGCTGGCCCTGGTCAGGTCATCCGTGTGGCAGCCAATCTGGATCTGAAGCAGAGAAATCCCCCCAACAGAGTCACCACAGGGCATGGGTGGGTGACAGGAGAGAGTACAGGAGGCGGAGGCTCAGGAAGGTCATAGGGCCACGACCCCACGTACCATCAATGAGTTGTCAGAGAGCCCATGAAATCACAGCCCTCCGCAGGTCATATGGACTAATTATGGGTGAATTATTCTTGTGAGGGATTCCAATATCTCTACAGTGGGTCGTGCAGAATCATTAACATAAGGAGCAGCAGGTGTAACCAGTAAGGTAAATTCCAAGGAGCGCTGACTCCACCAATGGTCCCTTGGTGTCTTTTAAGAGAGTCCTAGGTTGCAGATTCTGCGGTGGTGGACCTGGCACTGATGAGTGGAGGGCACCCTGTGTTTTTCAGTGGGATCCGGCTGATGAAGTGGAGGGTTGGTTCAGTCCTGCCCCTCTCTCCAAGGCCCCCCTTCCTGGGAAGGTGAAATGACTCCTGTACCTGGTGATCATGGGATTGTTTCCCTGGTTTATGCCAAACAAGTGCCAGGATAGGAAGGGCATAGACTAGGCTCCACCAGCCAATGGTCGTCTGGGGAGGTAGAGCAAGATGGGGTATCTGCATGTGGAAGTGAAAAAGCAGACCACGGACTCCAGCAATCAAGATACCACCTTTGGTGTTATGGGGAAGAAGCCAGGGTGAGAGGGCGCTTGTGCTACAACCAGAGAAATATATGGGCATAGAAAGTGAACTGAGATTTATTCAATCCCTGTGGAGGAGTAGGTTAACTTCCGTTTGATGCCTCTATTCCTCCCTCTCTGACACAAGTCAAAAGGACAATACTTAAGAACCAGCAGTTGGCTAGTTTTGAGTCCTGAGCTCTGAAACGTTTCAATCTATATTTTGTCTGCAATGCAGTTGGCTTATCCTTATAATGTGGGTATAGATCCATGACTTGTATTGCCAGTAGGGTTTTATGAGGATCAAATAAAATACTAGTGGGGAAGGCAAGAGTCTTGGTTGCATGTTATGTGGTGGGCAGGGCGTGGCCTCACCTTCAGATCTGCAGAGGCAGCAGATTCCGGCAATGAGACTTCTATGATTTGCCTTCCAGGTATGTAAAGCCCGGTGCTCATCCAGCAGTATCGGGTGCCTGCCAAAAGCACAGAAGGGCATACTTTATCCCTCCTCCATGACTCCACCCGACCTGGCACTCCACAGATCCTTCAAGAGCTCTGCCCACCCTTTCCCTTCTGTGCTACCCTGACCGATCTCTTCCAAACAGCACTGCAAGCCTCAGCCCCTGTCTTCTCCAAAGTAAATGGCAAAGGATAGAGACAATCATCTGCAGAAGTCAGACCCCCAAAATGAAGTGCTGCAATCACATGCCCCAATCCCAGCAGTTCCCAAGTTGCTCCCACGCTCATTCCATACCTGGATTGGTACAGTTGACCTCCACGGTGATGGGGGACTCGGAAGGGCGCAGATAGGGGCTGCTGTACATGTCTTCAATTTCCGGGACTAACAGAGAGAGGTCGCTTCCAGAGTGGGCCAGGCCAGTGGCCAGGGAAAGCATGGCCCCCCTGCAGCAGTCATTGATAACGGGGTTCTCTCGGGTGGCTACGGGGAGCCGATAGCGACTGAGCAGCTTCCTCAGGAGTCGGTGCACGGACATGTAGGCAGGGATCTCTTCTGCAGGGATCTGGAGGAAGGCTGCACCGTCTGGGCCCAGCTTGGCCAGCCAGCCCTTCTCCACATTCCCTCTCTTTCTGCCCATTATAACCTGGAACTCAGCCAGGGTGGAACGGAAGTGATAGGTCCTTATCCCTGCTTTAGGGGTACGGAAGGGCCCTGGATTGAGGCTTTGGCTTGTGATGCTGATGCCAAAGGGGTTGAGGAGGAGGTTTCCAGGGAATCGAGCCAAAGGGGACACCCCTGGGTTCTTGAAGGCCCACCACCAGGCTTGGGCTCCAACAAACAGCCCGCCGCCCTCTGCTACAAACTCCTGCAGCTCCTTGACCCCCACTTCACTCACAGGCTCAAAGCAATAGACACTCGCGTCACTGGTGAGATTGGGCTCAATGCTGGTGTCTATGCCCCCCACTGCAAGCAGGCCGCTCAGCGTTCTCAGCTCTGTCTGCACCACGATCTTGCCTCTGCGGCCCCCATCCAGCCAGCGGACAGCATTGAGCAGAAAGGGGCCCAGTTTCCCCACTGTGAATAACACCTTATGGCCAGTCACAACCACCCGGCCCCGGCCATAGCGGGCAGCTGCTATCACACAGCCATGGTAGGAATCTAACCCCAGGGGAAAGGCTAAGGCCCCGTGCACTAGCAGCTGGGATGGGAAGCAGTCGGAGTTGCTGATGTCCAGCTCTGAAATCCCATGCAGGAGCTCGTCTCTGTCCTCGGAGAGGTCATCTTCACAACTGCAAAAGACACACGCACTCTGGATTAGAGGAAGGCCCTGCACAAGGCTTCCAAGCAGCGCCTGAGCACAGCAGGGCTGGAGACCTGTTGCCTTTGCTCATATTGATACTTTAGGTCCTGCAGGAGAGTTAGGAGAACAGAGTGGGCAGATCTCACCTCCCTGGGTGTGGAGATGTGTTAGAGGGAGGACAGAACGACTTGGCATGAATTCTGCTCTGCACAAATTTAGAGCACAAGTTCTCTAAGGGAACATTGCAAAGGAAATCCTGAGATGCTTACTGAATACTCTACCTTAAATATTCTAGATTGAAGTTCATGTTTATTTCAGCACTTTATATGTCATATACAAAACTAATGGGAAATCGTGTTTCTAGTCTTATAAGGAGTCTTCTTTATATATTTTATACACTGTTCTCCAGATAAAGTCTACAGAAAGCCAAACTCGTGTTGCCTGTGAAGAATCATTACTATCTCAAATGGTGGAACAGGACAGTTCACTGGCCTTAACTCCAGTGAGCCCCTCTGTCACCTGACCCATGAGGACTTGATGGTCTTCACCTGGAATGGCACCCCATCATTGCCTGCCCAACAGCAGTGACACATTCTAGAGGGTTTTGCTTAGCACCATGGGTTTACTTTCAGTGGCTCAGGATACCCATAAGCCCAAAGTGGGAGATGGAGACCTGGGCACTTAGTGGGATTATCAGGGACAGAGTGACCTCTGTAAGCATAAGATCCCAGAGCTGGTTCTGGCATTGTGTTAGGTAGAGCTATGCCAATTGGCAGAAGGCAGCTTTTAGGAAACATCAAAAAACAGAGGTCAGTCGACAACATATTCACAGTGTTTGTGCTGTTCTTTCTGTGGAGGGCAGAGCTCTAACTGATGGGAGAACCATGGTCCTCACAGCAGATCCTTTCCAGAAGATAAAGGTATCACCCTACAATTTGGAGATGACACTCCCTCTCCTTGAAACACTAGCCATTAAAATCATCAACTAGTTCTTCTTGCTCTGATTCCAGGCTGACTAAATATCCTATGACTATAATCTTGCTTCCCATGTCCACATGCCTAATGACAGTAGAAGTCATTAGCTAGGCCAAACAGAATATTCTGGTTCTTTGACATTTATTTTTCTCAAGCAACACCTAGACAGTCTATCCTTAATTTGATAATTATATAAAAAAATAAGACTTTAAAAAAAAATAGTACTTTAAATATGTATTCAAAATTAAATGGAAAATGTCTTAATCTCATGAGGACTTCTATTTATAAATTTCATGCAATTAATTTTTTTAATAAATGAAGTCAGTGAAAAGCTGGGGTTTTGTGGTCTAGATTAATGTATGAGCATCAGAATCTCTCCACTAGCCATCAGGACAAGATGAGAAATACTGAACCTGCAAAGCTAAGACCCAGACCCCACGTCCCTGGAATTTCGTCTAGACAAGAGAGCACTATCTGAGGTTCAGTGCTGAGCCAGGGGACACCCTCGGAGACACGGGTCTGTTGACTGCCGTAGCCATGCTTACATACAGGGGGAGCTAAACAATAACTCTATGGTTTAAAAAGTTTCAATGGGGTTTTCTCTTTCTCACAGTGGGGTACTGATGGAGCATATAAAGTGGATGGAATCCGATGGATCAGAGATTCTTGAGAACAGAAGAATCTGGAGCTGCATGTGTGTGAAAGAGGAGACCAAGAACAGGAAATGACCAGGACGATCATTTGCACTGAGGGAGGAAATGCACTGCAAAAACCAATGATGGTCAATCTAGACTTTCAATTCTATTCAAAACTTAAATAGGAAATAATCCTCAAACACTTGTTGACAACTAAAAGCATGAAACAGAAGCACCAAACTGATGACAGAAAATCAACCTCCAAGGAAACAGTGATCCGGGAGAGGGAGGCTCTAAAGATGTGTGGTTTATCATTGGTGAATTTTAAGAAGATATGTTACATAAAAAAGTGACAGGCTGGTATAAAAAGTTTCTAATTATGATAAAAATGAACTACCAAATCAATAATCTCCGTTTTAACACAGGGGAAGAAGATAAGTCTTGGCCTAGTTAACTACTGTGAATAAGTAAAGGAGAAAGTTGAGTAAAGTGAATCTTCAGAGAGCAGTTCTATAGGCCAAAAAGATGATTATCAGAAAGAAAATATGGTATATATAAACAATGGAATATTACTCAGCCATAAATAAGAATGAAATTATAGCATTTGTCAGTAAATAGATGGAACTGGAGATTATCATGCTAAGTAAAATAAGCCAGTCCCCCCAAACCAAAGGCAGAATGTTCTCTCTGATATGTGGATGCTAACCCACAACAAGGGAGGGGAGATTAGAAGTTCACTGGACCAGACAAAGGGAAATGAAGGGAAGGGAGGATGGCTGGTAAGAAGAAAGACAGTGAAATGAATCAGGCATGTCTTTCCTATCTTCACATATAAATACACGATCAGTGTACCTCCACATCAAGTACAACCACAGTAGTGGAATCCTAATTGAAACAAGCTGTACTTATTCAATGCATGTATAATATTTCAAATTATACTCTGCTGTCATGTAAAAAAAAAAAAGATGATTATCTGAAAAGAATTAAGAAGTCCACATCAGAAGATCCAGCATCTAGCTGGCAGGAATTTCAAACAGAAAGAACAGAGAGAAACAAGAAGAAACCGGCACAAAATGAGGAGCATTTCCTTAGACTGCAAACAGACTGGAAAGTCTGTTGCAGAGCAGGGGAAGCGAAAGCATCCCGCCAGTTACAGGAAACTTGTGAACTCCACATGTAAAGAAAAAACCTTAGAGGATCCCACAAAGGAAGACAAACGACCCACAAATACATAAACATTTCAACTACATAAGACTTCTATCTGAGCACACGAGGATACTAAAAATACCACATAGGAAACTTTGACAAAAACATGATTTGAGCTTAGGTTGTAAGTCCAGAAAAACAAAAATGAGTACCATAGAGGAATAAGTTGGCTACAAAAACCTGCAGTGGCAGGGATGGAGTAAGATTGATCACTAATGCTGGAAACCGCTGATCAAGGCCTGGACACCCACGGTAAGTTAGTAGAGACAGATGAGAAAAACAAAGCGAACTAGAAAAAAAAAAAGTCAAACAAAAGTAGTAAAAATGCCAGTTGAAACCAAATGCCACACACCAAATGTGAATTTTAAAAATAAAAACATACAAGTTGCTAGAAGAAAATAGGTAATTTTAAAAATAATATGGCTGTGGGGAAGCTTGCTAACTATGACTCAAAATCAGATGTAACAGTAAAAAGATTGATAAGATCAACTAGTTATAGATAAACATTTTTGGCAAAAATATGAAACATTTAAAAAATCAAATGTGATACAAATCGCAAATACAGGGATAATATTCTTAGTATGCAAAAAAAAAGTCATAAAATGGAGAGAACACCAAGAACTCAACAAGAAAAATGATCAAAATGAACAGGCAGTTCACAAATAACAAACAATAAGTGGCCTTTAGACCCCCCAAAAGATAACCAATAAAATTACTCCTTATAAGAATAATGCAAATTAGGGCTAGGTGGTGGCTCAGCGGTAGAGCACACGCCTAGCAGATGCGAGGCCCTGGGTTCGATCCTCAGCACCACATTAAAAAAAAATAAATAAAATTAAGGTATTGTGCCCAACTAAAAAAAAATAAATATTTTTTTTAAAATAATGCAAATTAAAACTATATTGGAATACTCTTTCCTGGCCATCAAAATTAGCAAAAACACAAGTCAGACAGCTGTGCTATTGGGCATCTGTGGAGGTACAGGCATGTCCTCACATGGCTGATGGGAATTCCAAATGGCACAAACCTGAATGGAGAAGACTGGAAATTTCTAACGAAGTATACATACATTTACTCTACCACTAAAATAATGACCCCAAAAGTATAGCACCTACAGAGTACAAAAACATATGCAGAGTTGTTAACTTCAACACTATTTATAACAGCAAAATGTTGAAAACAACTTAAATGCCCACTTATTAGAGACTGGCTGAATAAAGTGTGGTATATACGTGGAGTTCAACACTATGTGGCTATAGTAAAAAATGAGGAAAACTTCAACATGTTGTCAAGAATGATGACGACCATATATTAATAGAAAAAAGAAGGCAGGCATGAAGGCACATGCCTGTAGTTCCAGCTAATCTGGAGGTTTCAGTGGAAGGATCACTTAAGCCCAGGGATTTGAGACCAGTCTGGGCAACACAGTGAGACCCTCATCTCAAACAAACAAACAACAATAACAAAAAAAGAAAAAGAAAGAAAAAAAAAGGAAGGAAAAACCATACATACAACACACAAAAATTAACTCAAAACAGGTTCAAGACCTAGCCTGAAACTATAAAATTTCTAAAATAAAACAGGGGAAAAGCTACTTGAAGATAGCCTTATCAACGACTTTTTAAGTATCACACAAAAACTCAGGCAGTAAAAGCAAAAAATAAGCAAATGAGGGTACCTCCAACGAACATGTTTCCCCATAGCCAAAGACACAATCAACAGAGTGAAAAGTCACCAATGTTTATGGAGAAAATATGTGTAGATCATATATCTGCAAGGGGTTAATATCCAGAATATATAATGAAGTCACACGACTCAATATCAAAAATAAAATAACCACACTGAAACATGGGCAAAGCACCTGAATTGGCATTTTTAGACAAATATAAATGTAAAAAAAAAAAAAAAAAAACAACCCCAAAACAAATAGTCAACGCATTTCTGAAAAGCTGGTCAACATCACTAATCGCCAAGGAAATGGAAACTGAAACCACAATGATATGTCTCCTTGTACTTGCTAGAGTAGCTATCATCAAAAAGTCAAGAGATAACAAGAGTTATCGGGTATGGAGTAAGAGGAATTTGTGTATGCTGTTGGTGGGAATGTAACTTGGTACCGCCTTGACAGAAAACAACTTGGAGGTTCCTTGAAAAATTAAAAATAGAACTAACA